GACATGGGGCTCAAACTCACAAACCACAAGATCATGACCTGAGCGAAAGTCGGACACTTAACCGACTGAGCCACCCAGGCACCCCATCATTTAAAAAATTTAATGTAGTTTGCCACATTAATAATTAAAAGAATTGTATCTTCTCTAGAGGTATAAAACATGACAAAAATTGAACCCTCATTCATGGAAAAACTCTCAGCAAACTAGGAATCAAAGGACCTCTTATCTGGGAAAGGGCAGTATGAAAATACTTACAGTGACATTGTACTTAAGACTAAGAGTGGGGCGCCTGGGTGGCTCAGTCAGTTGGGCGTCCGACTTCGGCCCAGGTCATGATCTCCTGGTTCGTGAGTTTGAGCCCTGTGTTGGGCTCTGTGCTGACAGCTCAGAGCCTGGAGCCAGCTTCATATTCTGTCTGTCTGTCTGTCTGTCTGTCTTTCTCTCACTCTCAAAAATAGATGAACGTTAAAAAAACAAAGTAAAAAGAGAGAGAGTGACTTAGGTCCTCCTAAGATTGAGAACAAGGATGTCCTCCTTCACTGCTTTTAGTTAACATTGCACTGGAGGTTCCAGGCAATGCAATTAAAACAGAAAAATTAGAAACATTGAAAAAGAAGAAGGAAAATCATCTTTATTCACAGTCAACATGATTGTATACACTGAAAATTCAAAGAAATCCCTCACCCGACACTGCTAGGGCTAATAAATGAATTTAGCAATGTCACAAGAGGATTCTTTCTGGGTCTCTCATGTTTCTGCCTGTCTTATAAAAAGGAGCACTGACTGTCTTTGTTCTAGGCTATCTTCAAGGAGATACACACACACACGTGTAGAGTGAACAGCCCTGAATGATAGCAATAGTATTTCCCTCTGGAGCAAAGGGTGGGTTTATTACTCAATATGATAGGGATAATGTCTCCCTTGGGGCCAAAGTTCAGGCAGGCTTACTGCTAACCATAAAAGAATCATGTTCCTTAAGCTTGGGTTTCCTCTTCTGCAATATACCGCACTGCACGTGCAAGCATCAGTTGATACTCTTCAATTTGCCCTATAGGAATCAGGACTTGGGAGCCAAAAGCAGCTACTCTGATTCCTGCTACTTCTTTGAGTAATAAGCTGTCCTTTATCTCTGACCCTGGATTCTCATGCCTTCTGCCAGCATCCATAACACCTGTTCATTTATAACTAGGGTAAAACTTCAGAGCCTTCAAAGCTCCTGATACAAGATACAAACATCTGTTTCGTACTAGCAACGATTAGAAAATAAAGTTAACAATACATTTAACAGAACATGAAAAGCATAGGATAGTGATAAACTTAAAACGTGTGTAAAACAAAATGCATACACTGAAAGCCACAAAGACCTTGCTGAGAGAAATTAGAGACCTAAATAAATGGAAGGAGACTCCATGCTCAAAGATAGGGAGATATTAAATTCTCTCCCTTCAACCATTCAAATCTTGAGTGGAAATGAAGACAGAAATAGTCTACCCCTTCCATGGAAGTCACCACCCCTTTTGCCCCAGCACAGTGTGCTGATGAGACTCGCTATTAGGTCCCTTAGAGAGATCCCGAGAGCACTTGTGGTTCTGATCTTCATCTTCTCTCTGGTCCTGTGAGCTCCCTCATTCATACAGTGAACTCCCTTACCCTTGTCCATTACCTTATTAGTCAATTTCTCTTAAAAAAAAAAAAAAAGTTTCCGGGGTTAAAAAAAAAAAAAACTGAAGAATCGGGATTTGTTGGCATGCTACTTTTTGATGATTAGAAAAAAAAAAAAAAAGAAGAAGAAGAAAGATTGTCATTGAAGAACAAGAACCACCAATTCTGGACCCAAGAGAGGGAGGATGATCACAAACCCAAGTGACCGACCAAAGCTGTCAATTGGTGCTAAAAGCTCTTCTGTCCTCTACAAAATGTGGTAGTCCCTGCTGTGCCAGTTTCACAGCATCAATCCCCCAACTAGAGTGCAGATATCCAAGAGCTTTACAGAGCAACTCCCAGGTGATGTGATTCCAACAGCTGAAAACACTCGATATGAAACTGGGAGATCCCAGGCTCATCACCAGAGATTCATTTTAAAAGCCTCTTGAACGGGGCGCAAATGGAAAGAACTCCTATTTGGAAGAAGGGACGTCTGGTATTATGCCCCCACCCTGCACTTACCCACTCAGGTGTAAGGTGGGCCTGATCTCATGGGATGCAGTGTCTCATAGGATCCTGACAGCTAGAACGCGCTCTGTCAATTAGAGATCACTTTTTTTCCTCCTTTCTGACCTTCCCCATGCAGTATTCTTCACATATAACCTGCCTTAGAATTTAAAAAGGACCAAAAAAAAAAAAAAAATCCCCCAAAGATGATACAAAAGAATGTAAAGAAATAAAATAGGCCTAGAGTTTAAGAGAAGATTAAATTTATTAGATACTAAATACAAAAGTAAAACCATCAAAATAGGGACCCCGAAAGCTCCCACCCCAAACTATAAAAGCATTCCACATAGGCACACAATGGCTAGCAAAGACTAAAAAGGTGCAACGCTTCCAAAACGACAGATGCTCAGCTTGAGAAAATTGATGATTGGGTCAGATGAGCCCATTCCTGGAAGAGCCCCTTGTTGGCTCTGTCACAGCATCAGGCCAAAACCCTCAGCCTTCTGGACCAGACGCTGATGTCAGGGATGCCCTGAGCATGTGACTGGCAGCAGCCCACTTACTCTCTCTGTGCATTCTCCAGTTGCTTCATGATCAGATCCTGCTTCTGCTCCGAGAGCACCTGATAGAACCGGTGCATGGCTAGAGGGTCCAAATGGGGACAGAGAAATGAAGACTTAATGGGCTTGCAGGTGGGTTCCAGACATCCCTAGATCATGGCAGACCACCACAGAGCCCCTCGTTCAGGGATGCTGAAGTTCAATCCTCCCTTCTTTGGGACAGATTTCCCAGTCTACCTGCCGCCTCCCCAGGGTCTCTTCCTAAGCTTCGTTATCACAGCATCCACCTGCCAGACACCTTCATATCTCCGATCCTGTAACCTGGCTTATAGCTTTGTCCTCATCAGGGTTTCTATCTGCCTCTAGTGTCCTTTGGCTCAGTCCATGCTCTAAAAGATGTTTCTGTAACATAAACATTCTCTCGTTAACACTCCTATTCCCAGCAGGTAGAAGAGTGTCTGGTATGTGGAGAGATGCAATAAAAAAGTTGGTGAAATAAAGGTCATGTTCTCTATAACCTTCAGAGGAGAATCTGAAACACCACAGTATAATGTACAGGGACCTCCATGGTCCTCCGTCTGTCTCACCTACCAAACCACGGCTGCACAAGGGCAGTGCACCGCTTCTGATTAGCTGATAGTCCCAATGCCCTGCTCAATGCATGCACAGAACAGATACCCAAAGGGCGCAGTGTCCTTCAAGTGCCTATCTGTTCCTGTTTGCAAAGGAGCTTGGGAAATAGGAGATAGGAAAGTGGGGTGCACCTGGGTGTCTCAGATGGTTAAGCATCCAACTCTTGGTTTCGGCTCAGGTCATGATCTCAAGGTTTCATGAGTTCGAGCCCCAAGTCAGGCTCTGCTGTGCTGACAGTGCAGAGCCTGCTTGGGATTCTCGCTCTTTCCCTCTCTGCCTCTCCCCCACTCGCGCTGTCTCTCTCAAAATAGACTTAAAAAAAAAAAAAAAAACGGAAAATGGAACAGATGGTATAGGAGGGCTAGTGCTATCGGCTGCTAAAGGCCAAAAACAGGAAGATTCAGGAATCGGGCGACAGAGGCGTTGGTGAGGCATCTTTGAAGGATGCCAGGATTTGGAGGTCAGGACCATTCACCTTGTTTTAGCAGGAGGGGCTTATCCGCAAAGGTGATACGGAACCAGCCGGGCTCCTTGCACATGTAGGTCCTGCCACGGGACAAGATCAGCTTGTTGTCCAGGAAGCGGCGATGCAGGAGCAGCTCTTCCTCAAAGGTGCACGGATCCAGGTACTAGGGCAGGCAGAAGGACAGAGCTGAGCCCAGGACCCATCCGGTAGGTCTGCCCAACGGCACTGGGCCTCATCCCAGAGCTCACCATTTTCAAGTTCATCCAGATGTAGAGGCCAGAGCCACGGTTGAGAAAAGGGATCCCTAATGCCTCCAACTTCTTGGTCATGTATCCGTGAGCTATCTGCAGCCGGGAGCGGTAGGTGGGCAGGTATACTTTGTCAATCCACTCTGGATGGGTGGGGAAAGACCGCTGTCACAGGGCTTGTGGCAGAGATCTGCCAGAGGGATCCTTACCCAAGGCTCCCTACCTGGGCTTTGTGCCAGCTGTTCCTATTCAAGACTGACTCTGTATTATATTTGATGACCTTTATCCCCAACACACCCACCACTTACCTAGAGCCGGGGTAGAGATATCAGGCTTCTCAATAGTCTGGTAGGGATGTTCTATTTGGATTTACACCCCTGATACAAAGAGTCAGGGTACCCCCTAAGTGAGGTTGATGTTGCTATTGTCAACTGGGCAAGTAGCAGATAATCAGAGCCCTCTTTACCTCCTGCCTCAGAGCCTCACGCAGCAGACTTTGAGAAACCTAGATATGCTTGGGGAGCTTTTAAAAGTCCTGATGCCCAGGTTATAGCTCTAGATCATCTAAATCAGAATCTTGGGGGAGAGCACCCATATATCAGCATTTAAGCTCCCCAGACAGTTCCCATGTGTCGAAGGCTGAGAACTAGTGTTCGAGGGGCTAGGAACCTGGTTTCTGCCAAATATCAAAATGGCCTGGCACCATCCACCAGAGATATCTGCTTGGATTTCTCCTATCTGCCCCTTTCCCCCTGCCAAAGCTGAAAGACAGTGTCTCTAAACCAGATTATTGAATTACATTCATTTGTAACATTATATACCAGCTTTTAATTTAAATCCTCCAGCCTGGCATCTGCTCTGTTATAGGGAATTAAAGAGAGAGGGCCTCATCTAAGTTTGGGCCATGGCATTAGACAGAGGGGGTGGGGGGGGGGGTTTCCTCTGAAGCCAGTATTCACTTGTGATCCACGGAGGAAGTTGAATCCAGGTGCCATAGATCCAGCCACACCAACGTGCCCAAATAGCAGCCCTCCTTTGGCCACCTTAGATGATGAAGTCAAGTCATATTCAAGGAGTCATGGCATTTCTTTGTAATCTTTGCCTAAAGCAAGCAGGGCACTGGGGCGGGAAAACTGACCTCCACATAAAGGCGAATTTTGGGCTTTCAAGCCTTAGAGTACAATTTGACTATCCCTGTCCAGGCAGAGCATGAGCTCCCAGACAGTTAGACACAAGGCCCATCTACGTTTCAGACCAGCAGCTCCGTCTTCCATCTCTGCCCTACTACACTATCAGAGCCACATCCTGCCCTTCTTCAAAACTTCCTGTCCTGCCACCACTGAGCCCAAGACAGCAAACAGAGTCTCAGTGTTTTAGACATATATCGGAGGCTCAAGCAGACCCAGGAATCCCCATGGCCATGGAGTCTAGCCAAGATCCCAGCCCGGGATGGGACTCAGTACCTCTGTCCTGGAGCAGCCGGCACAACTTATGCTGGGCAATGCCAGAAATGCCATGGAGGTAGCCAAAAGAGCTCACAGCAGAGGCCACCTCCCTGTTGTGGGTGTAGAGAACACCAAAGCGGAAGCCAGAGATGCCGAAATCCTAGAGGAAAAGAAGTAGGGGAAGGAATACCTGGTCTGCCCACCTCCTGGCTCCCTTTCCTTTCCTACCCAAAGACAGGAAGCTGGGGCTCACCTTACTGGTGCCCCAGATCACATGGGTCCTGCTGGGGTCAGGCAAACTGGAGAGGAGACAGTACAATCATGGTTATGAAGAAGTATGTGAAGAATGAAAACTTGGGGTCAATGCGGGTAAGAAGGGGAAAATGGACTTGAGGTCCTTCCTACACAAAAAGACCTACAGGGCCCAAAGTTCAAGAAACAGTTGCCCCAGTTAAGCCAGGAAATCAACAACAGGTATCGCTGGCGAACTAGATGGGACAGCTCCCAAGCACCCACTGAACGAAGTCCAGGACCCTCAGCCTGTCTGGTGGCCTTCCTGTAGCTGATCCAAAGCCACCTTTTTAGCAGTTAGCTCTTCACACATATGGGCCACCCATTGTTTCTAAAATGTGCTCACCTATTTCTTATTGTCCCATTTTTGGTGAAGCTGCTCCTTCTGCTGGGCATGCCCTCGCCTTGCTTTGGCTGCCGGGATCCTATCTTAGGGCCATATACTATCCTTAAGAAAGTTTTGCCTTAGGGGTGCCGGGGTGGCTCAGTCAGTTAAGCATCCAACTCTTGATTTCAGCTCAAGTCATGGTCTCATGGTTCATGAGATCAAGCCCTGCATTTGGCTCTGTGCTATCAGCACCAAGCTGCCTCTCTCTCTCTGCCCCTCCCCTGCTCGTGCTCACTCAATCTCTCTCAAAATAAAAAATTTTTAAAAAGTTTCCCCCTATTTCTGTTCTCTCCCTGTGTACTGCTTATCAAGAAGTTCCTCCCTGACCTTCTGTAGGGCTTTATGTTGACAGTAACCTCTATACCATGCTGTCAAGTTATCTCATGTACAAAATGGCATTTAAAAAAGACACCTGGGGGGCACCTGAGGGGCTCAGTCGATTAAGCATCCAACTCTGGATTTCAGGTCTGGTTATGATCTCACCGTTCATGAGTTCAAGCTCCACATCAGGCTCTGTGCTGACAGCGTGGAGCCTGCTTGGGATTCTTGCTCTCCCTCTCTCTTCCCCTCCCCCACTCACATCTTCTCTCTCAAAATAAATAAACTTAAAGACACTTGAGAGGAAAGATGATGCTTTGCTCATTTTCACACTCCCAGTGGCACTTAGCCCTTTTCCTAGCACATAGCTGGTAAAGTTTATGGCACATGAACTCACCCTGCAAAAGCAGGAACCTCCTAGCTCTCATTCCCAACAGCTGAGGCCAACTCACCTTTCCATGCTCAAAACACTGTGGAATGTGATGAATTCATCAAACACAGACAGCATGTAAATCTCATCTATAATTACATGAAGGTGGTACCTGCAGGTTGGGTAAAAGAAAGAGAATGTCTAGGCGCTCTCCAATCTCAACTCATTTTCTTTTATGGTCTTCTCTGGACACAGATCAGCTACTCCTACTGCTCCAGCAGCCCATCCAACCCTTCCAAGCGGCATGGCAAGGTAGGAGGGGGATGGCCACCAGAAGGGGTCTTTAGACCTGGCTCGGGGGTAGGAAGGAAGAGGACCCAAAGACACTCAGGAGAACATCTAACCCTTCAACTGTAAAGCAGAGACCAACGAGGAGGGCTGGGTGTCCCAAAGAGTTTTATATCTGGTGTAGTCAGGGAGCTCCCACCCAGGGTCCGAACTGAGTAGTGGCATTCAGTGGGCTCAGTGCTAATGCACATCATCTTGTTTATTTTCCCAACAACCCTCTGAAGCAGTGGTGGTATCTCCATCTCACAGATGAAGAAACAGTTTCTGAGACATAGTTCATTTCCTCAATCAGCAGATGTTAGAGCTGGGATTTGAACCTAGTTCTGTCAAATTCCAGCCCACGGACTTCCAGTATTCATTCTCTTGTCCTCCTGTTCTGCCATGAATTGGTCTGGATTAGAGTTATGAAATTTGAATAAGTGTTTCTTCTGGAAAATGGGAGATGAGGTACCCTAAACAATAGGGCTATTTCAGAACTCCAGAGATGGTGGATGTCAACATGTTTGTAGGAATGGGACATGAGGGTTCTCTGGGGACACATCTTCACCCCACAAGGTCTGAAAGTCTGTCTTTCTCAGCACCTCAGGCCAAGTAGTTTGGGAAATGGATGCTGGGAGAGAGTGGTTACACAACAAGAATTGGAAAAGCAACAAAACCAGATCATAATTGTTATGTAGGTGTCTGTACCTGGGCAAGAAAAAAAAAGAAAAAAGGCAAAATGGCCCAAAAATGTAGGGTTGAAGCATGTGGGCGCCTTTTCCTTCAATTTTCAGTGTGAGTTCTACATAGCTTTGCAAAGTATACTGTGCAGTAAAAATATCGGAGTAAGTTTTGTCTGGTTCTGACTTCTTCACTGTGAGTGATCAGAACATTGTTAAGGGACTTTGTGTAGTCTTGAGGGGTGGAACTCTTACTTCTTGGCAAACTCCAGGTATTCTTGTAGTGAGTCTCGAGAGTAGACGTCTCCCAAAGGATTCTGAGGGTTGATTAGAATGAGGCCTCTGACCTTTTTCCCCTAAAAAAAAAATATAAAAAACCATAACTGAGTGAACACAAGTCCTACACATCTACCTGAAGTTCAGCTAAAGGTCACATCAGGACACCCCATTATGGACACCCAACCAAGGCCTCATTGGGATCTCAGCTCCTTTAGGTGGGATCTCGAACATGCAGCCCCAGAAGGAGCTCTGGGGGCTGCCATAGACAAGGCTCAGGGCTCCCAGGGGGACATGGCCCCTGGGACACTGCTTCTTCCGAAGGAGCCCACACCACCGTGGTGAGAAGGTTGTACCGGGTCTCAGTCCTCAACCCTTCTCAGGGACAGCAGTGCCCACCCTGAAGACAGAGGTCCCTCCTTACTGTAAGCCTAGCCTCAAGTAGAGCTTGCTCCAGCTTGTCCACAGTGAGCTGGAAAGGATGGGGATTTGCATCTGTGACCTGGAAGACAAACGCTGTCTGAGAACTGCCTACTGGAAAGCTTCTAAGCCTTAGTTCCTCATCCCACAGACACTGAACAATGCTTCATGCCCAGGGCTGCAGCCCCACATGCCTTCTTTGCTCTAATTTCTCCATCTCCCCCCACTGTCACTTATATAGGAGGAAAGGGAGTTCCCCTACACCTTCCAAATGCCCTAGAGACCTTCCATTGCCTAGGTGGGCTAAGCAGGGGGAAGGGTCCCCATTCTGACCTCACTGTCCAGGTGGACAAGAATCAGCTCAACTTTCGAATACAGGCAGGCACTAAAGGCGAAGCCACCATAAAAGGGGGCAGGAATCAGAAAGGCCTCTGGAAGCACAGGGAGACAAAGTCGTCAGTCCATGGTCTCCCCGTCAGAACACGCCAGGCCCCCCAGACCAGCAGCAACACTATAGACAAGAGAAGGTTAGTTTGGCAATCCATCCTGCTTGGGGCTTAATGCTTTTGGGCTCAGGCTCCATAAAAGTTACATTCTTATAAATGTTATTTGGGGAACACTAGAGAAGTTTCTTCTTTGGGGGTATGCTAGAGAAGTAGAAGGGGAAGAATATTGCTATGAATGGCTCAGAATCCAGGTTACAAACCAAAACAGGCTTGCTAACAGGTGAAATGCTAGTCATCCACTGAGTCTTACCAGCTCCAGTAGGAACACAAGAGGCTGAGGTCTGTGCCCAGAGGGGGCGCTCACCTCTCTGCATGGCTCAGGTTACCTAGACTTGGTGAACCCATGGGTTCTTTTCTTCCCGTTCCTTTGGCCTCATTGATGAGCAAACCAAGGATTCACTCCTTTGAATGTAACCATCATCTTGGTAACTTCCTTCTATGCAGCCAGAGCTCATCAAGATCTGAGACTCTTGTTTGGGTGTTGTTAGGAGGGAGACCAAGAACAGATCCCTCAGCCTTGTTTGATCTAGAACTAATTAGTTTTTTGTTTGTTTGTTCAGGTGGGGGGGAGGTGTTGTGTGTGTGTGTGTGTGTGTGTGTGTGTGTGTGTGTGTGTGTGTATTTTGTTTGTTTGTTTGTTTGGTGGACGAGGATAGGAAATCTATCTTGTGAGCCAGTTTACCAGGGCTCTCTGTATTGGAGTTGAGTCCAGAAGCCCAGCTAAGAATATACTGAATTGGCTCCCATTGTCACATTTCTAAAGCATAACTCACTGAGGACCATCACACGTTTTCCTTCCATATTAAATGGGGACCCAAATCTCTCGCTACTACAGAAATAGTAGGAAGATGTTCTGATGAATGTAGAAGTCCCAGTACTTTAGGGGAAAGGCCTTGGGTCAAGATATTCTTCTTCCCTAAGGTCCAGTGCCCATTGTGCTGCTATTTCCCAGAGGGAAAGCAAAGCCCATTAACTTACCCCCTGGATCACAAAGAACCATGGCCAGTGTGGAGAATACAGAGGAGCAGCCATTTAGAACAACTACCTGAAGATGGACAGAAGACAGAAATCAAAACCCATCCCACATATAAGAAGGTCTAGCCCTTTTCTCTCCCTCCCCCTAGGATGGGTATCAGGAACCTCTTTATCTGGTTAGCCACTGGCCTTATCCATTGGCCTTTCCTCTGTCCTGGCCCTGAGGGTCTCTACTCGTTCTAGAAAATACAAAAGAGTCCCCCAAGAATAAAGCCCTCTACCAAGGGGGCAGTGAGGGTGGGAAACTGACTCACATTTTCTGGATCAAGCTGGTCAGGTACCTTGCAGTAGTAGGTCAGGAACCGGGCCACCTCTTCTCGCAGGCTGTGGACAAACCCAGAGAGACTTTGTGGTGCCCGCGCCCAGGGGCCCTTCCTCATTCAGGATCTAGACTACAGTCTTTTCCAAAGAGCAAGGTATCCAACCTCATGTTACAGGTTACTGACTGAGGCGATCAACTCCCCAGGCGACACAGACAAGAAGTATGAGAGTTGAGACAAGAAATCAAGCCTTTTGAATTATAGGGCAGTGTTATTTCTATGACACCAGGCTCCTGATGAGGTTTTGCTCTAGATATTTTGTAGAAGTTGTTACCCAAAGAAATAGGGAGGTAGCCAACCAAGAATCTGGTGCTTTGGGTCCTTCCCTGGATGAGAGCAGGTGTCTAGGGGCCAAGAGACTTTAGATCTGGAAGTTACTTACAATGGTTGCCCTCTCCAATCAGGATATTGCAGCAAGGCATCCTCAATGTAGTTCATATCACTCTGACTCAACTGTGGACAAACAGAGCATGAGGACAGCCAGCCCAGGGAAGCCCAACAGGCCTCATCCCACGGCTCAGACACATCTGGGTGTTTGCCCTACAACACAGGGCCTGACAGAAGACGAACAGGGAAACATGCCCCTTAATGAATGGAGGCCCAATCTTGTCATAGACTATACAAATAGAGAATCACTGGGGAGTGTCTGATGGCCCTACAGGGCCAGAGGCTCCCTTGGCAGCCTACCCACCATATATACCCATCCACAGCACACCTCCAAACACAGTCAGTAAGCCAGAAGGTTAGATGTGCTATTCTAGAAGCTCTTTTCTCCCTTCTTTCCCCAAACTCCTAAGTCCAACTCCTGTATCTGCCACTTGCTAAGAAACATTCTAGTGGGACTAGGCCCGATGGCGGGTCCCAGCATAGCACAGGGCTTGGCTTACCCGTTCAGTCATCAGATCGAGGCAGAGCTTATTCTCACTGAGTCCAAGGTTAATGAAGCCCTGGAGATGGAAGGAATCTGAGATCAGTCCATTTGCCCTGCCCTATATGGGCCTCCTTAAACATTCTAGTAAATACTCATGCTAGGTTATTTCAAATGGAAATCTCACTGCCCCATGAGGCAGTTCAATCCATGTTTAACAACTTCAAGTGCTAGAAAACTTTCACAGACCCAAAAATCTTACAGCTTGCAAGTTTTCCCCTTCAGAGCCACATAGTACTTATATACCAGATACCAGTCGCTGAGTTCTTATCATGTGCCAGACCCTAGCACATGATTTAAGGAGAGCGAATCTTGGGGCTGGTCATGGCCTGGGGCCGGCGAGCCGCCAGTCCCACTGCCCAGGGTCATGATCTGAAGTTCAGGGTTCTGAGCTCGCCCGCTTCGGCTCTGTGCTGGCCAGCCTGTGAGCCTGAGCCTGCTCTTGACTGCCTCCCTTTCTGACCCCTCCCTGTTCATGCTCTCTCTCTGTCTCAAAAATAAATAAACGTTAAAAAAATTTTTTTTTTTTTATTTAAAAATAAATAAATAAATAAATAAATAAATAAAGAGAGTGAATCTCAGAAAGATTGAATAACCTACTAGCCACGTGACCACAGCGATGGGCAGAACCCACCTGCCTGACCCAGTACCTGCCTCATACCCATCTCTGCTTCCATGAGAGGGCCCTTCAACTTATTGGTGAGATATGGTCCTCAGAGTCCAGTGCGTGGAGATACTGGGCCCAGTTGGTCCCCAGAGAAGCAGGATGGCCATTGACCAGACACATCACTTAGCCAAAACAAAAGAAGGCTTGACTAGCACTGTCCTCCATCTTTGGCTGAGAGCTGTAGTGAACCTCCCTTGCTGGAAGTCTCTCGTTGGCTCCCTAACACTTAGGATACCATCCCAACACCTCACGACGGCCTGCCCCCATCCACACCTCGTCACAGCACCCATTTCCCCCAACCTAGCCTTTCCCTTATCACTCCCAGCTCTTCCCAATTTTTCACACATGTAGTTCCTCCTACCTAGAGGTCCCCCCTCCCACCACCTCCACCATATGGCTGGCTGATTCAGTCTTTAAGACACCTTAGACCACCCGAAGCAGGCAACCCCTTGTACACTCGGAATTATTATTCATGTTCCTTTCCCCAATGGCTGACTACATTCATCACTAGACTGAGTTCCATGAGGGCATGTCTGCTTACCACTTTGACCACAGTGACCCCTGGGAAGAGCATGGACTCAGGGAAAGCAGGCTGGGGGGGGGGGCGGTGGCGGGAGTCTGGGGGAACTGGAAGGCAGGGGACTCAGACACAGCTCTTAATTTTATTAGGCATGTCACCTTGTTTCTGTGCCCATTTCCTTATCTATAAGACGACAATAGCGTCTACTTTACGGAGCTAAGAAGAGGAAGAGAGTCCAGTACTCGGCACAGGACTCAGTCAACCCTAGTGATTGGGGCCCTTGAATAGGTGTCTCCCCCTGCCCTCATCCTCACCATGGTGTTCTTGTCCTCGTGGTATTTGTCTCTTTGGTAGATCTTGTAGTCCTGGAAGCTGGAGTGGTATAAGGCAGAGATGTCAATCCCACGGCTGGACAGGTGCTGACTGACAAATGTAGCTTCAAGATCACTCAGTTGGTGAACTGGCCAGTCAGGCTGCCTGGAGGACTGGGCCCACTGCCCACCTCTGACATCACGCCTAACATCCAGGGAAGGGCAAGACGGTTGGAGCCCTAGGCCACCCATGGCCCCAGACTGTAGGAGGTTGACCAACTGGTACATTAAGCGGCCCAGGAGGGCTTCCTGCTCACTGGCGGCCTGACTGTGCCTCTGCTCCTCCAGCACCAGGTCCTGCTGCAGGTGCCTGGTTGTTAGGTGCATGAGGTTCTTCTCTATGGTCTGCTTCAAGTGCAGCATCATCTCCATCAGGTGGGTGTGGATTCTCTGGTTTCTGAGGCCCTGACCCCTCATCTGGGCAGAGGGCATACGGAACGTGCCTAATCGATGACTCATGCTCTGGGTCTTTGTCTTGGCCTCAGCAGGCTGGCTGGAACCTGCAGAGAAAGCGAGAGACCACGAAGTGCATTAAAGGAAACCCTCCTTGACCCTGAGGAGATCCAGGCCCGATCTCAGGCTCCTCACTGCCTCCTACTTCCATGCCTTGGGTATAGGTACATGTTGGCTCAGGGAGAATTACCGACTCATTTGAGGGCAATGCCTAAGAGGCCCCAAGCCCAGACCCTGGAACACTGTAGTGAAATGGCATTAAAATGTGTTCTGAAGAAGAGCATTAGGGCCTACTTTGAGAAACAGGGGAAAGTGAACAGGTATGCTTCTGGGGTCTCCTCCCTCTCCCTCCATCAGAGCAATTCCTGCTTTACAGTGTTCTAAGAAAAGGGGATTCTGTAGAAATAAAGAGACAGAGAGAGAAAAAGAAAGAAAGAGAGGGAAAGACGGGGTGGGGGGGAGGGGGAGGGAGAGGGAGAGAGAGAGGGAGAGAGAGAGAGACAGAAAGATAAAGAATAAAAAGCCTGAGTAAATTATTCTGTTAGCATAGAGGTGAGTACTGCCCAAGGGCCAAATCCAACTACCTCTTTTTGTAAATAAAGTTTTACTGGAATACAGTCACATTTGTTTGTTGATATATCATCTATGGCTGTTTTCACACTATAATGGCAGAGCTGAATAGCTGTGACACAGACCATAGGATATGACTCACAAGGCATAAAATGTTCATTATCTGGCCCTGTTTGGGAAAAGTTTGCCATCCCTTGTTCTAGAACATCAGCCCCTCTTTTTGTCTATTTTTCTTCAGTCCTTCTATCCTTCTTTGTGTCATTTCCTTATAAATACCTTCAACCTGCTCACTGTGACAGCTGCCTCAGACTTCCATCACTAGTAACCAGGGGCTAGATACATGGTTCTTGAACTTCAAACTTCACCAGAATCACTTGGAAGACTTGTTAGCACAGAGATGGCGAGGCCTCACTGCCAGACTTTGATTCGGTAAATCTGGGGTGGGGCCGGAGAATTTTCAGTTCAAACAAGTTCCTGAGGCTCTACTTTGAGAGCCTCTAACTATTCAGACCAACCTTTCATCTGAAGAGAAGTCAACATGATGGGAAAGACCTAAGAAACACCTTTTTAAAAGCCTTGAAGAATCAACCAAACAAATCGGAGAGCAAGAAGCCACACAGTAAGAAAACCTGAGGCCAACAGCTGCCTCTAATTCTTTGTATGACAATCTTCATATTCCCAGACACAGAGACCTCTTTTCCTAAAAATTCTAGATTTACAGCCCTTCCACTAGATGCCATATTCTGAGTTCTTATTCTAAGTTCCATCCCCGCCATATGCAAAGCCTCGTTACCTCCTTCACAGGTTTGTTGCACCAGCACTTCAAAGTACTGGACACTCTGCCCAACTTCTCCAAAACATGTTCAGTCTGCCTGGGATATGCCCATAGCAATCTATACTTCCCCCTCATGACACTTAATACTGTTACATGTTCAGTATCTCCCCAGGTCAGCCTTCATCATTCTATCGTTAGCACAGTGCCTGGCACATAGGTAGCTAGGAGGAGAGGCACAACCACAGGATGTTGCCAAGTCAGTGAAGACAAGAGCAAAGCCATGAGGACTTTGCTATAGAAGATGGAGCGGTGACCAGATACAGCCACAGGACGAAACAGTACTGGGTCTTGATTTAGGGTGCCAACTTCTCATCAGCAGTGATACAAAGAACTTCACGCGCCAGAATTAGGAACACACATACTGTTTAGAAAGAGATTGAACAGATATAAATTCTCATGTCTAGACTAACCCTTTGTTCCACAAGCAAAATACTTTGTTCTGGCTCAGACTCCCTCCCCTACAAGTTAAAGGGTCATTTCAATGGGGCTTTCAACCCTGCAGATAAGGAGCTCATACGGTCCTTCCAGATACAGATCCTTCCAGATCCCCCAACTTAGAATGGTTCAGTTCTTGACTTTATGACTTGACGATGGTGCAAAAGTGACACGCATTCAGTAGAAACTGTACTTGGAATTTCGAATTTGAACCTTTTCCTGGGCCAGTGATGTGCTGTAGGATCCCGTCTCATGATGCTGGGCACTGGTAGCAAGATGCAGCTCCCAGTCAGCCCCACAATCACGAGGGTAAAAACCATTTACAACTATCCTGTACCCATACAACCCTTCTGCTTTTCACTTTCACTATTCAATAAACTAAATGAGATACTCAACACTTTATTATAAAATGGACAGTGTTCGAGGATTTTGCCCAGCTGTAGGCCAGTGTGAGTGTTCTAAACATAATTAAGGTAGGCAAGACTAAACTATGATGCTCAGTAGTTCACGTGTATTAAATGCATTTTCAACTTATAACGGGTTTATCAGGACAGAAGTCCATCATAAGTCAAGGAAAATCTATACTCGGATAGCATAGAGGGGTAGTTACGTGTCAACAGAGATTCCTGTGGTTTTGCCTTCCAAAAGGTTGTGCCTATCATCCCTGCTGGTTCTGAGGAGTTTGGCGGGAAGGGCCACACTGCTGGACAAGACTTCTCTTCAATGGGCAAGAAGTAGGGGGTTTCTGCTTTCTTCCAGGGCTAGTCTCTCACATATTGAGGGTCTTTGTCCTGTATCACCTTAATAACAAAACCAAAGATATCACAGCTCTGTAATATCCACTAGACCAGCACATGGTCCCAGACTTTAAGCAGTAATCCCAGTTCAGGCTGGATTAGGGGCTCTCTTGAACTTCTTGCCCTGGAAGTCCTTGATGTTACCAAAACTCCACAACTCTGTCCCATCCACCCAGCCCTCGGCCAGGGACTCCAGGTACAAAGAAAACAGTGATCAGGATCAGGTAGGGAAACTGGAGGCCAGTGTGGCCCAACAAGCTATTCGAGGAAAAAGGCTGTTCGAAGCAGTTAGGATGAGAACCTCTCCAGGCAGGCTTATGGAACAGCAAATAGTGCTAAGGCAAGTACCTAAAAGAAGTGTGTTTTCTTGGCAAAATGTATTTTTTTTTCTTTTTTAAATGTTTATTTTTGAGACAGAGACAGAGTGTGAACAGGGAAGGGGCAGAGAGAGAAAGAGACAGAATTCTCAGCAGGCTCTAGGCTCTGAGCTGTCAGCACAGAGCCCGACACCGGGCTCGAACCCACAAATCATGAGATCATGACCTGAACCAAAGTTGGGTGGTTAACCAACTGAGCCACCTGGGTGCCCCCAAATTCTTTTTAAGTTTATTTATTTATTTTGAGAGAGAGAGACAGCAAGTGGGGAAAGGGCAGCGAGAGAGGGAGAGGCAGAATCCCAAGCAGGCTCCACACTGCCACCATAGGGCCTGATGCAGAGCTCAAACTCACGAACTGCAAGATCATGACCAGAGCCAAAGTCTGACGCTTAACCTGAGTCACCCAGGCACCCCAAAATGTATTTGAAATGAGTATGTGGTAAGGCCAGGAGGAAACCTGGCAGTTAGATTTCTGCCAAGACTTATATCTTCTATAAGAAAAGTCTATTGTGAAAAATGTTGGCCCACAAAGGCAATAATGCCCCTAAATTGTCTGGTATTGAGGTATACCAACCCTTTCCTCAAGTTGTCTTGTACATACCCTTGGTTTCAACATTCCTCAGCTTCCAACCATCTGCCTATTAGGTCACACTCAGGGGTCTTCTATAACAGCTAGAAGCCATGGCTCAGAACCAGCCCAACTGATACCAACAACCTTCTGAAAAGAGCCAAAGGGCTGACAAACAGTAGAAGCTGGGAATAGGGAATGAACATGGGAAATGAGCTAGAACCAGCTCATTTGTTTGCAATGCCAGCACCTGACTCCAAGCAGGACAATTTTTATGTCACTTTCCCTAGGACCCTACAAGCTCTCTAGCTCGGTCTTGCCCTCCGACCTTCCTTTCCTTTGCCATGTACCAGCTTCTCTTGGTGTCCCAGTCCTTGGGCCTCAGTCAGATACTTCCTCCTTGTTATGGGAAGTATGATAAGGATTGCGGAGCCTCCTTTATGTGCGTGAGAAGCAAGGTGTGGGGGAAATAGACCCCTAAACACAAGTTGCAAAATTGAAGTCTCAGGTAAAAGCAGCCTTGTAGAGCCTAGATTCTATTTTATAGTTCCTACTCACCAATTGTAGCATGTTGTGAGAATGATCTCCCCTGTCTGGGCATCAGTTTCTCATATGTAAGATAAGAAGATACCTCAATTCAAGGGGATAAAACTGAAGCTTCATGAAGATGAGTCACTTCTAGGCCACAGTAGAGCCAGGATTTAAACCTCAGACCTCCCACGTTAGCCCAGAACTCCTGAGAACAAGAGAAAGCTAGAAGAAAACCAGCCCTTACATGGACAGCAGCTTGGCCTCATGTCACAATGTCCAGGAAGTCTCAATTGCTGAAGGCGGATTAACTTCACCCAACAATCTTGTCCTCCTGTATTGACTCCAAGCCCCCAGGCAGAAGCTGACAAATACTCTGGAAGTGGTTACCTTAGACTTACTTGCATTTTTCAGAGGATGACTTTTCAAATACAGTGTCCAGAACACAAAATATAGACACATGAATAAGCAGCATGAGGTAAGACCAGTACAGACAACAGAAAGACTAACATGGACTCCAGCTACTAAGAGTAGACTATAAAATGATTGCTTTTCTTCTCAAGGAGATAGAAACTCAAGTCTGAAAACTGACAGAATAAATGGAAATTATTAAGAGGACAAATTTGAAAGAAATCAATCAATTCTAGAGGTTAAAATCCACTGACCAAAAGTGAAAAGCCTCAATGGCAGAGTTTAACATCAAATTAGATACAGCTAAAGAAAAAATTAATGACCCAGAAGAAGAGGCTGAAGAAACTTTCTAAAACGTGACATGAAGACACAAAAGTAAAAGAAGATAGCAGAGGATCTAAAATGTACATATACATATTCATTTCGAGTCCCAAAGGAAGAGAAAAATAGAGCAGAAGCAATCTGAATAAGATGTTTTATCAGTG